CATAACCTTAGTCTTTCGGAGGCATTATCTCTCGGAGGTCTGCGCGGATTCCCTGGATCGGCGCTGGAGCGCGCCAGGGGAGGCGACGGAGGCGCGGCCGTCGGGGGCCCCACCGCCGGCAAAACAGATCCGCGCAAACCCCGATGCTCGTGCCGACGCTTCTTGATCGAAAGGAGGGAGGAGGAGGCCGCCAACGCACGCACGAGCGAACGCCTCTGCAGCGAAAGCTGTCCCGACTCTACGGGGATGGGCAAGGAGGAGCGGGGAGCGGAGGAGCGGGAAGCGGAGGAGCGGAAAGCGGAGGAGCAGGAAGCGATGGAAGTGGAGGAGGCTCGCTCGAGCGGAGGAGGTGGCGGAGCAGGAAGCGGAGGAGCAGGCGGGAGGAGGAAGCGGAGGAAATGATACGCGACAAGATCGTGTGACCAGGCGGAGGCGAGGCGAGGCGAGGCGAAGGCGCACCGTCGGTCCATAGGACCGGCCCTACGAGTGCAGCGCGGAGGAGGAAGGAGGGGTGCGAAGGACGAGGAGGACGAGGCGGAGGAAGAGCAGGAGGAGTAGGAGGCAGGAAGGGCCAGGAGGAGTGTGAAGCGAAAGGAAGTTGAGATAGCGGATGAGGCAAGAGAAGGAGGAGGAGGAGGAGGAGAAAAAAGGAGGCATGAGGACGACGAGGGAGGAGCAGGAGGATGAGGAGGACGATGGGGGAGAAGCAGCAGGGGAGAGACGACACGAGGAGGCAGGGAGGAGGAAGGACACGCGCTCCCCGCCCGAGGGCCTCGGGCCGGCGCCGGCGCGAGCTCCTGCGGCGCCTGGGCCGCGCCCCGGCGGGCCGCAGCACTGTTTGACCGTGCGCTCTGCAGGCGGAGCGCGGCTGTGCCGATCAGCTGTCACTGTGCTGCCCCGCCCCCGCCCGCTCCTCAACCGCTTCCTCCGACTCCTCCTCCTCCTCCCTTCTCGTTCTCCTCGTCCTCCACCTCCCCCTCCTACAGTAGGGACCCGACCACGAGGAACCCTCCACAAGAAGCCCAACCCTGAGACCCCAGGACGGCCATCGATTTTGGGGCGTGGGAACGCCACGCCTTCCATCGCGAAACCATCGAAACCCAAGAAGCCCAGGGCACCCTGGAGGCAAGCAGGGTGCTCCTTGGCATGGGCCCCCACTGTACCCCTCTGGTTCCTTGGCCTCCTCCTCCTCCACCTCCATCCCCTCTGCCTCCATTCCCGCCTCTCTTGCTCCACCCTGCGTAGCACAAAGGGCCCACCCCTCCGTGCGGCGAGGGACGGGGTGGCCTGTGCGCGCCGCCTCCGCGTGCATGGGTCGGCGGCTGGCGGGGGGGGGGGAGGGCAATGCCGCCTCGTCCACATGTCGCCTCCTGCTGGCTGCTGCTGCTCCTCCCACCACATCCGTCCTCCCTACCTCATCCTTCACCATCCTCCTCCTTCCTCATCACCTCCTCCTCCACCTCCTATGCATTCAGCTCCCCCTCCTTCTCCTCCTCCTCCTCCTCCTGCAACTCTCATCGTCGTCATCATCAGCAGCATACGTAAAAATAGCAACAACGACGGCAACGGCAACAACCACATCAACAACAACACCAACAACAACAACACCACCACCAACAACAATTACATCAGCATAATCATCATAATCAGCATCAGTATCATCATCATCCTGATCATCCTCATCATCGTCAGCATCATCATCAGCATCAGCATCATCATCATCATCATCATCATCAGCAGCATCATCATCATCAACATCATCATCGTTATCATCACCATCATCAGCATCAGCATCATATTCATCCTCATCCTCATCCTCATCCTCATCCTCATCATCAGAATCATCAGCATCATCATCATCATCATTATCAGCATCATCATCAACATCATCAGCATCATCACAATCATAATCATAATGATCATCAGCAACATCATCACCATTATCATCATCATCAGCATCAGCATCATCAGCAGAATCATCAGCATCATCATCAGTAGCAGCATCATCATCGTCATCATCAGCATCATCATCAACATGTTCATCATCATCAGCATCAGCATCAGCATCATCATCATCATCATCATCATCATCATCATCATCATCATCATCATCATCATCATCGGCGTCATCATCATCATCATCAGCAGCAGCATGATCAGCATCGTCGCCATCATCATCGTCACCACCATCATCATAACCAGCGTCGTCATCATCATCATCGTCATCAACATCATCATCAGCATCATCATCAGCAGCATCACCATCATCATCATCATCATCATCATCATCATCATCATCATCGTCAGCATCAGCAGCAGCATGATCATCATCGTCGTCATCGTCATCTTGATCAAGATCCTCATCATCATCAGCAGCATCATCACCAGCATCATCAGCATCAGCATCACCAGCATCAACAACATCATCAGCATCATCATTATCATCCTCATCACAAGCAGCAGCATCAGCATCAAACACATCATCATCAGCATCATCATCAGCATCGTCATCATCCTCGCCCGCATCATCATCAACATCCTCATCCTCATCACCAGCATCGTCATCATCACCAGTTTAACTGTCATCAGCATCACCACAGTCAGCATCAGCAGCATCGTCATCATCGTCGTCAGCATCAGCATCAGCATAATCAGCATAATCAACAGCATCACCATCACCAGCATCATCATCAGCATCATCATCATCGCTCCTCCTCCGCCTCCTCCACCTCCTCCTGCACTTCCTTTCTCTTCTTCCCCCTCTTCTTCCGTCTCCTCCCTTTTTTCCTCTTCCTCGTCCTCCTCCTCGCACCTCCTCGGTCCTCCTCGCTCCTCCTCGCTCCCCGGTCCTCCTCGCTCCTCGCTCCTGGCTCCTGGCTCTTCCTCCTCCTCCTCCTCCTCTCCTCCTCCTCCTCCTCCTCCTCCTCCTCCTCTCCTTCTCCTCCTCCTCCTCCTCCTCCTCCTCCTCCCTCCTCCTCCTCCTCCTCCTCCTCTCTCCTCCTCCTCGCTCCTCCTCCTCCTCCTCCTCCTCCTCCTCCTCCTCCTCCTTCCTCCTCCTCCTCCCCTCCTCCTCCTCCTCCTCCTCCTCCTCCTCCTACTCCTCGCTCCTCCTCGCTCCTCCTCGCTCCTCCTCGCTCCTCCTCCTCCTCCTCCTCCTCCTTCTCCTCCTCCTCCTCCTCATCCTCCTCCTCCTCCTCGTCTCAAGAGCTTGCAACAGCTCCGCCGCGAACGCTCGTCGCGTGCTGCCTTTTCCGAAGCGGGCCTCTCGCCTCAGCGCCGGGTTCATTCGTCTTAGAAGTGTGTAGCAGTGGCGTTGATGGAGGGCAGCTCGTTTCCAAACTTCGGCTCCTGCCCGTCGCGCCGCGCACATGCGTCGCGCGATTGGCGACGGCGGGCGGCTCCGCTCCAAAGTCGGGCTGTCACCGAAGCCTCCCCTGAAGCCAGGGCTTGCGCAGATGCGAGCAGCAGCTGCACCTATCAAGAGCGGCCTCTCTTCAAGATGGTGCGTCCCCTCCGGCCTCCAAAAAGGCTAGATGGCCAGAAGCTTACAGATACTTCTGGTGCGGGCGGCTCCTCCTCTTCAACAAAACGAGCGATCAGGGGTGAGAAACGTGTGCAAGAGTTGCACCGATGGGGCGGTTCTTTCTCGAAACGGAGGGGACCTCGCTCGACACCCTGCTGGACTGTGTGAGCACTCGTGAAGGGGCCCTGGGACACACAAACGAATACACACAGATAACATGATCCCCCAGATTTCCCCATATCTTCTGGGTTTTTGTCTTCCCCCCACACTTCCCATATTTTCTCCCATCTCTTCCTGGGAGTCGACGATGAATTGTGTCTGTGTGTGTGTGTTCCCTCCCCTCCTGAACTCAGGAGCGGCCAAGAGGGGGGTGTCCAAGAGGGGGGGGGTGCAAATCATGACCGTCGGCATGTGCGCGGCCCAGCGGGGGGGCCAGGGGCGTAATGAAACAAGAAGAGGCGCCATGAATCTGGGGAAATATCATGGCCCACGCCATGATATCCACCCACCGCCTAGTCATCAACCCCCTCTTTTCCGCCCCCGATGAACTCGTTCCTCTGTCACCGCGGGGGGCTCTCGCCCGACTGGGCAGGGCAGCCCCGTCGAGCGCCGGTGCTGCAAAGGGGGGGGCGCTTCCCAAAGGGAGGGGAGGCTTGCGAGGGCGTGTGAGAGGAGTGCTCGGGACGGGATGGCCTATGGCGGCCTCACCGATGCATCTGAGGTCTACTCTGGTCCTCCTCCTCCTCCTCCTCCTCCTCCTCCTCCGCCTCCTCCTCCTCCTCATCCCCATCCGTTCCCTTTCTCATCCTCCCCCCTCCTTCCTCCTGTTTCCTCCTCCCCCCACACGTTCTCATCCTGCCAGGCATCCTGCTCCTCCTCCTCCTCCTCCTCCTCTTGCCATCCTCTCCATACAATGTGTTGTTTATCCTCCTGCTCATTCTTCGCTTCTTTCACCGTTCCGATCCCCATCCGTGCATTCCATATTGTCCGAGAGAAGGCACAAAAAGCTCTTATCGGGGATGGGCAGACCTCCCTTTAGTAAAACGTGGTTTAGTGAAAACGACCTGAGGCCCAAACCTGGCAGGCGCAGGCCTGGAAAACAACGGCCACGGCGCCCTCTCGAGAACCGAAAACGGACACTTCACTAATCGACGTGTCACTGTTGGGGGTTCTGTCCACCCCCGATCTTACAGAAGAAAAGGGCGGGGTAGGGTGGAGGGCCAGAGACGGGACGAGGGAAACTGCATTTGCCTGCCTCCGCGGAGAAAGGTCCAACAGAGAAGAGAGAGAGAGAGAGAGAGAAACGGTGAACCGCAAGAGGACGCAGCACGACCCGGCCACGCAGCCAGCACACGGAGCTCACCCACATCGTCAACAACACCATCAGCAACTCAATCGTCCAACTCCATTCACACTGTAACCAGCATTGTGTGTATGCCATGTGTGCTTGATTTCAGAATCCGCCCCCGTGCCTTCAGCACGGGGTGGAGTGCCTGACCCAGACCCCCAGGTTTCCCAAGCGCCGCCAGGCCCTCCTGGGTGTCTTTTTGTTGCAGCACATGCGCTCCTCGCACAGCCCGCCAGGCCCATCACAAAAACCCTGGTCCCGCACTGTTAAGGCAAATGCGTGTGTCACGGAATCGGTGCAGGAGCAGTTGCACCAGGAAAAAAATGAAACGCCTCATTCGAATAAGACGAAACGTCGGGATCATGAAACATAAGGCCACTGCCATCACGCGGAATGATACAAATTTCCCCCCATTTCGTATCGGTGAAACCTCGGTGGAAATGGGGAGGGCGAGGAGGAGGAGGGAGTGAACGCTAGGCGGTAGCCGCCGGCGAGCCAGTGCCAGAACAGCAAGGCACAAATGACCAACAGTAAAACGTACTCAAAGTAACTGCGGTGAAAATTCCTCACTCGTGCACAGAGCAGGGGGAGGTCGGGAGAAGCAGGAGCAACTGCGGCGGCGGCGGCGAGAGCGGGAGGAAAGAGACGAAAAGGGAGGACCACGCACTGCATCTCTCCAGGCAAGCTCCTAACTAAGGGAGGAACGTGCTTAGCTGACGCTCCGCCCTTGGCCAGCATAAGATATTATACACTGTATGCTCCTTGTTCGGTGCGGTAGCTGGTGAGGTGGTCGGAGCAGGAGTCGGTGACCTGGTCGGTGCGGGAGTCGGTGAGCTGGTGCAGGAGTCGCCGACTCCCGCGCCGACCAGCTCACCAACTCCCAGCCCGACCTACTCTCCGAATCCCGCACCGTCCTGCTCGCCGACTCCATTGCCGACCGGGGCCCTCCTGGGCGTCACTGAGGCGTCAGTCGCGTGGACCTCTGGCACGATGTCCCCGCCCAACGGGGCCCAACAAATGCTCCGAGAGGCCAGATAGCTTTCCAAGATGCCCAAGACGGCCCCAAGACTGTCCAGGGGGGCAAGACAGCCCTAGAGGCCTCCAAGAGGCCTCCCAAGAGGGCCCCAAGAGGCAGAATTCATAGATGTTCCTCAGGTGTTTGAAGAATAGCGTTCGCGCCCTTCGGTTTCCCGACGCTCCAAGACGGCCCACGAGGCACCAAGATCGCCCCAAGACGGCCTGAGAGGCCCCCAAGAGGGCCCCAAGACTGCCCAAGAGGGCCCAAAAACGGCCCCCAAAGGGGGCCCAGATGGGGAACCTGAACGGACAGTTCGAGCCCTACGTAGGCCCCGAGGGACCCCCAGGAGGCCCCAGGAGGCCCAAAGATGCTCCCGAGAGGCCCTCAAGAGGCCCCCAAGAGGCCCCAAAGAGGCCCCAAAGAGGCCCACAAGCTGCTCACAAGAGACCCCCGAGAACGCTCCGAGGAGAACCGAATAATCATTCCTTAGAACTCCGTCTGACCCACGACCCAGGCACGATGGCGGGATGGGCCGAAGGCCATGAGAAAATTCAATAGAAATGGCTCGCCGAACTCGGACCGGATCCCAGACCTAAGCCCCTACCCCCCTTCCACCTGCCCTTTACCCACTGCCCTTCAACCACCACCACTCACCGCTGGCTGGTCGGTCGTAAGACAAAAGGGTTCGTAGCCTGCGACAGGAGGACGGGAGGAACCAGAGAAACGATTGAAGAAGTGAGGCGCACGCACGTGCAAGAAACGCTTGTAGCCCGAGACCCGTAACCCAGATCCTCCTCCGCGCCCCACCCAAACGGGGGGAAGCATCAGGGACGTCTGTGCGTGAAAGTCGCCTGCCTCCAAAATATCGGGGCTGGGACTGGATCCTGGATTCTGGACCCTCCTCCTCCTCATCATCCTGCTCCTCCTTCTCTTCCCCATCCACCTCTTCTTCATAGGATTATTAATCGCATTAGTATAATTATCATGATTAGTATTATTATTCGTATTCATGTTCGTCTTCGTATTATTTTTCGTGTTATCATGATTATTAATATACGTATTCGCCTTATCCTAAGTATTACTATCCTTAGCAGTCGTATTATTATTAATAGTCGTGCTATTACGCTTATTCCTATTCCTCTTCCTCTTCCTCTTCCTCCTCCTCCTCCTCCTCCTCCTCCTCCTCCTTCTCTTCCTCCTCCTCGGACACTGACCCTCGACCCCTCTCAACCCTGGATGCTCCTCGACCCTCGACCCTCCTTCTCGATCCTCAATCGTCGATCCTCTTGGATGCTTCGACCTTCCTCCTCGACTTCCTCCTCCGATCCTGGACCCCCCTCGACCCCCGTTCCTCCGCCTCCATCCTCGATGCTCGATCTTCCTCGATCCTGGCTTCCGCTGCCTCCGCCCGGGACCCCCCCCACTCCGAGGGAGCCCCCCCTCCCCTGGCAAGGCCACTCCAAGGGGCTCCCCCCCTTACTCCAAGGGGACCCCTCCCACTCCAAGGGGACCCCCCCGCTCCAAGGGGACCCCCCCGCTCCAAGGGGACCCTCCCCCGCCCGTCCCCACCCCCCCCACTCCAAGGGGACCCCCCCCGACTCCTTAAGGGCCCCCCCCCCGCCCCCCTGGCTCGAGGCCCGGCTCCTGGGCGGCGCCGCGCGCGCCTGCCGCGGCTGCTGCCGCGGCGCCGCGGGGGCACTCTCCTCGGGAAGGGGGGGGGGACGCGGGGGGGGACAAGCCAGGCTCGCTCCCTCCTCCTCCTCCTCCTCCTCCTCCTCCTCCTCCTCCTCTTCCTCCTCCTCCTCCTCCTCCTCCTCCTCCTCCTCCTCCTCCAGCTGCTGCTGCTGCTGCTCCTCCTCCTGCTCCTCCTCCTCCTCGCGCCAGATCAGGAAACCTACCCCTCTCACCCATCCCTTTCCATTCCATGGATGCTCGCTCGATCCCCCGACGCGTGCTACATAAGCGGACCTGGAGCTCCAGGGAGGACCCGATTTGTTGTGCGCAACGAGACAGAAGTACGGGAGCTGCGTGCCCTGGAGGAGGTGGTGGGGGGGGAGAAGGGGGGGAGACGGGGAGCAATAACTAAACACTACCCCAACAAAGCCCCCTCCGATATAGCAAGAACGGTGCACAGGCGGGTCGAGCGGGAGGTCGGTCGGCCAATGAAAGCGTGCTTTCCCATGTAACTATTCCGAGTAACGCATGGGCCTTACGTGGCCTCGTTGGCTCAAGCTTGTGGATGCCATGACAATGAACACCCTAGCAGTCCTACCATTGAGTAAAAAAAGGGTTGCAAATGCTTGAAAATGCTATAAACATGATTTTTTATAACGCTTGTTACAGGTTTAAAACATGTTTAAAACATGTTGTAGGCATCTGGACATGATTTGGCAACATGCTTCCTCTCCGTTGGTCGACGTCCACAGGCTCGCCATCGCTTTGACGTCCATTCCCTGTGCATTTGTCGGTTTCGTGCGTGTATTTTTTCGCAGCGTGAACAAAATTGCTCCTCGATGCCCCTTGCCGATAAAAAATGTACACGTCCGAGCGATGCCAGGCAGGCTCAAGCTCCCTGTGGCTCGAGCTGCCCCAGCTCGAACACGCGCCGCTCGGCTGCGCGCCCCAGCCGCGGCGTCATGGAGACCGTGGCGGCACGGCGGCGGCGGCAGCGGGCGGCCGCCTCCGCCCGCGCTGCCCGCGCCGCGGGCGCCGCGATGGCCGCGGGTGCCGGCGGCGCTGCCCGCGCCGCAGGCGCCCCGAGCGCCGCTGCCGGGCCAGTCTGCGGGCGCCGCGTGCGCCGCCCGCGCCGCGGGCCCCGCGTGCTGGCGACGCTGCGGGCGCCGCGGGCCCCGCGGGCGCCGCGGCGCCGACGCTGCTGGCGCCGCGTGCGCTGCCAGCGCTGCCGGCGCTGAGGGCGCCGCCGACGCCGCAAGCCGCGGTCGGCGCCGCCTCGGCCTCCGCAGGCGCCGCTGCGGCGGCAACCGCCGCAGGGCTCTGGGCGGCGAAGGCCGCCTTCTCCCCATGCAGCGGCAGCGGCGGCCAGCGCGGCGGCCAGGCCGTGCACACGCCCCCGGGCCTGGAGCCCAGCGCGATCAGCTACAACTGGGACCAAAGAGCGCGAGAGCGGAGAGCGGTGGCAGCGGTCCACGCTGCTGCTCATCGAGATGCCGGCGCCAGCACCCTCGCCCGCGCAGCAAGGAGCACCGACGCCAACATCCTCGCCAGCGCAGCCAGGAGCAGCGACGCCGACGTCCTCGCCAGCATAGCGGAGAGCACACCGACGCCGGCATCCTCGCACTCACACCTGGAAGCACGGACGCCATCCTCGCCAGCACAGCTGGGAGCACCGACGCCAGCACCTTCACCGGCGCAGCCAGGCGCACCAGCGCCAGCATCATCGCCAGCACAGCCGAGAGCACCGATGCCAGCAGCCTCGTCAGCACAGCCTGCCTGGATCGACGCCCGCATCCTCGCCAGCACATCGGGAAGCATCGACGCAAGCATCCTCGCCCGCGCAGGAAGGAGCACCGACGCCAACATCCTCGCCAGCTCAGCCGAGACCGCCGCCAGCATACTCGTCAGAACAGCCTAGATCCCCGACGCCAGCATCCTCGCTGGCACAGTGGGAAACTCCGACGCTCCTCGCCAGCACAGCCGAGAGCACCGACGACAGCCACGTCGCCAGCGCAGCCAGAAGCGCCGACATCAGCATCCCCGCGCCTCTCAGCCGAGGGCACCGACGCCAGCATCCTCGTCAGCACAGACTGGATCACCGTCGCCAGCGCGCCCGAGCTCGGAGCACCGACGTCAGCATCCTCGCCAACAGAGCTGGGAGCACCGACGCCAGGAACCTCGCCAGCGCAGCCAGGCGCACCCGACGCCAGCATGCTCGCCAGCACAGTCGAGAGCACCGAGGATCCACGGCAACGTTCGCGGGGGGGCAGTCGCGGGGGGAAAGGGCAAGGGGAAAAGGGGGAAACGGGGAACTACGGACATGGACATGGACAAGCAGCGCGACAGTGACAGAGCCGAAGCACCACGCCAGGCGCAGCAGGGAAGCTGCAGCAGTGACCGTCCGGGGTGGAGAACGAGAGCAGTGCGCGGATACCCAGGCTGACCAGGGGGCGGAGGAGGAGGAGGAGGAGGAGGCGGAGGAGGAGGGGGAGGGAGGAGGAGGAGGAGGAGGAGGAGGAGGAGGAGGAGGGGGAGGAGGAGGAGGAGGATAGCGAGGGACACAGCAAGGCGGACGGGCAGCACCCAGGGCTGGGTCCGAGCAGATGGAGTCGGGGGATCGCGCCGCATCGCCGCTGCATCGGCGATGCATCGGCGCCGTGGGCGGTGCATCGCTGACGTCGGCGTGGAGAAAACTGGCCCACACATCGAGTCGCATCTGCGATGCATCGGCGATGCGGCGCGATCCTGCGACCCCGCGCACTCCGACCCTATCTGGGAGACCTGGTCGCACACCCTCGGCGGCGACGATTGGGGCGAATGGCCCAGGGGCGGGCAGTACACGCATTCGCCCGGGAGCCTTTTCGGAGACATAGATCGTCGGCGCACCTGAATACATGTATTGCTCTCCCCTGGGCTATTCGCCCCTATCGCCGCCTCTGACACACACACACACACACACACACACTACCATACGTGGATCGTTTACACACCATGCTTATAAAAAAGTGCTGGAGCGAAGAAGGTGCAGGAGGGAGGAGGGAGGGAGAGGGGGTCGAGGGTCAAGACCCCCCAGGGGGTCCTCCCCTCGACCCCCCTGGGCAATTCGTTCAGCCGCGCAATTGACAACTGCTTCCTGTTAGTTCTGAGGTAGTTGACTGGCTGCGCGCTGGTTATGTCATGGGATGCCTAGAAACCTTGGTTATTGTTATGATATGGGCCACTCAAACAATGTCCCCCGCACAAGGCCTACAAACAAGACTCGCGAGAATACTCTTCCCATTCAAAGTGGAATGCATACACACATCGGGGATCGAATGACCCGGATCAATCCAGACCTGGGTCAGTCAGGCTTTGCAACATCTTGAAAAGTCCTGCAGCATCCTGCAGGACCGTGCACCCAAACCCGGGTCAATGCGCCGCTGGCTCTGCGATCCCTGCAAAATCCGGCGCTCTGACTGACCCCCCATTGCATCGACCCTCATCTCGCGGCGCGGCAGAGGCGATCCGCTCGCGCGTGGAGCAAAACCAGGCGGCTGCGGAGCTGCGAATTGTCCCGCATGCAAGAGGGGGCAGGGGGCAGACAAGGGCGGCCGCGGAGGGAGGAGGGAGGAGGGGCAGACGAGGGCGGCCGAGGAGGGAGGAGGGAGGGAGCCCCAGGCACAATAAATATATCCGGCCGCTCCCGCCCTGCGGGTTGGGCCGTGCGAGACCTCTCTGACAGTGTTTGGGGAAGACTTTAGATCCATTCGCCAGTGCCTGGTCAAAAACCTCCCTAAAAGTCCCTCCGAGGGGGCCCCACTCTGCCGCCGCCCCCCCCCTGCTTCAAGGTCCGGACTAGCCTGGGGACGACCAAAGAGCGCCCCAAGCCGACCCAAGAGAGTCCCAAGCTGTGCAAGCGAGCCTCCACACGGCTCTAGATCGCTCCAAGACGCCCAAGGTTACCTCCAAACGGCCCAAAACGCCTCCAAGACGGCCCAAGAGGCCTCCAAGAGCACCCCCAAGAGAGCCCCAAGAGACAAACATCATTCATTGTTCGATGTTTTTTGAAGGATTTTCGGGCTCTCGCCATTTCGGCAAAAGGAAACTCTAAGACGGCCCAAGAGGCCCCCAAGATCGCCCCAGGACGGCCCGACAAGCCTTGGCGGCGCGCACAAGGGGGTGGGGGGGAGGGGGGAGGGCTTCTTAGAAGCAGGCTGCTTCTTAGAAGGCGCCCGCCTTACATCTATAGATAAGGCCCGCGCCTTCTAAGAAGCAGGGGTGCTTTTAAGAAGCCCTCCCCTCTCCCCCCACCCCCCTCTGCGCGTGGCTGAAAGCCCCCAAGAGGGCTCCAAGGCAGCGCAAGAGGGCCCCAAGACGGCCCGAGAGGCCCCCGGGACGGCCAGGGGCTCCAGGACGGCCCCAGGAGCGCGCCCAGAAGGGGAACCCGAGTGAAAATGTCGAGCTTTCGGCCCCAGGAAGGCCCCCAGGAGGCTCTAAGAGGCCCCCAGGAGGCACCCAAGAGGCCCCCAAGAGAGCCCCAAGAGGCCCCAAGAGGGCCCCAAGAGGCTCCCAAGAAGCCCGCAGGAGGCCCACAAGAGGCCCCGAAACTCCCCCGCAGAGGCCCCCGAGAGACTTCTTTTGAGACCTCAAGAAGCGTCCATGAAGACTCCGACCCAAAACCCAAGCACGGTGGCGGGATGGGCCCACGGCCGTTTGATAGCTGGCATACGCGCCGCGTCACGACTTTCGATGCTGCGCACCACTTCGGCAAACTCCCAGGGAGCGGCCGGTGATGCGCCGCCGGCGTCCTCGCTATATAATGATATATATATATATATATATATATATATATATATATGTGTGTGAACCAAATCAATGAGCATATATGTATATATTTATATATACATATACTAATAAATATAGATGTACTTGTATATATAAATAAATACATGTGTACATATATATAGGGGGGGGTCTGCTAACCTGGGTCAACCAGACCCGAGTCAGCAGAAAACAAATAAAACTTCAATGCAGGACAAAAAACTGCAACGCAGGGCTTCGCAAACCTGGGTCAGCCAATATGCGCGGCCGCCTCGCGGCCACGAGGGGCTCGCTAAGCTGGGTCAGCCAGAGGGGGTCCTCGCAGGATCCTGCAGGATCTGGTGCCCTTGCTGACCCCCGTCTGCATGGACCCCCCGACTCTTGAGCCCCGAATCCATACATGTACGTTTATGTCGGGCGTGTCCCCCTACAGGGGGATTTTCGACAAACAAAAAAAAACCCAAACAGGCAAAATAATACTACAAAGATAGTCCCCAGACTATTTTCGGACTATTTGTTTTACTATCTGTTGGGGTATCTCTTATTTTTCGTCGAAAATCCCCCTGTTTGGGGACAGGCCCGACTTAAATGTAGCGCCCGGGGTCCTCGCTGCGGGGGCTGTCGCTGGTGCTGCCGCCTCCGACCCTGCCGCGCCGAGGCCGCAGGGGCGGCGTCGGCGGGCCCTGCGGGGCGGTCGCGGGGCGCGCAGGGGCGGCGTCCAGGGCCCTCGACGGCCCTCGGTCCTCTTGGACGCGAATTACGGTGGAGGCCAGTCCACAGGAAACCTCCCACAGAAAAACCCAACCCTGAGACCCCAGGACGTCCATGGATTCTTTGGTGTGGGAACGTTAGGCTTTCCATGGCAAAACCATCGAGACCGAAGAACCCCAGGGCAGCCAGGGGGCCAGCAGGGTGTCTCGTGGCACGGGCCCCCACTGTGATGGGGAGCGTGAAAGGGAGGGGGGGGCAAGGTGCCCTCTTTCGGACCCTGGAGGCCCTGACTCAGGGCCCCGTCAGGGGCCCTGAAGGGCTCCTTTTCGGCAGCCCTCGCTGCCCCCCATGTGGCGCCCCCCCCGTGACGCGTTCTCCGATCTACCTACCGCGCGCGGGGGCTGGGGGAAGGGAGGAGGGGAAGAGGGAGGGGAGGGGGGGATGATCCTTAGTGGGCCCTGGAAACGGCAGGGCCGTTTTTTTACCGGTTCCGTTTTGCCGTTTTTGTTGCCGGTGCCGACACTGGTTTGTTACCGCGGTTCCGTCGCCGGTTTTTGAACGGTTCCGGCTCCAGTTCCGATCCTGGAGCCGTTTTTTTGCCGTTTCTGGTCGCCGTTTTTTTGCCGTTTCCATTTTCAAGGGACATTTTCTGAGAACGGTGAAAAAAACGGCCCTGCCGTTTCTGGGGCCCACAGAAGGATGATCGGATCGACTCGGCGGGGAGGAAGCGTCACGCTCCGAAGCGCCGGCTGGGGGGCCCTTTGGGCCACATGCGTAGAACTCACATTCAATGCAAGAACCAATCTTGCCAGTATTTTCATCCCGCCGTGCCCGGCAGCCAAAACAAAAGAACACCGCGGCACCAACCAACCATCCATCCTGCCGGGAGCACAAATAAACCTGTAACCCCCCAGGGGGGAGGGCGGAGAACGGGGGACGACGGGGGAAAGGGGGCAGAAGGAGAGGGGGGGAGGCTGTTGGGACGGGTCCGAAGCAAAGCGGTAGCGCTCTCGCTTCAGTCGGAGCTCGATCACAAGAAACCCTCCACAAGAAGTCCACTCCTGAGACCCCAGGGTGTCCATTGATCTTTTGGGGCTTGGGGACGTCACCTTTCCCCGCGCAGATCCATCGAATAACCCAAGACGCCCAGCTCGCCATCGCTCGGACGTTCATTCCCTGTGTTTTTTTTCGGTTTCGTGCGTGGCTTTGTCGCCAAATGATCAAGGATGCTCCTCGATGGCCCTCGCCGAGAAAAAATGCACACGTCCGAGCGATGCCAGGCCAGATGCACCCTGGAGGCAGCCAGGAAGCCTCGTGGCATGGGCTGCCACTGCACATCGCACGCACGAGAGCCCCAGACACAGGAAACCCTCCACAAGAAGTCCACTCCTAAGACCTCAGGGCGTCCATTGATTCTTTGGGGCTTGGGGGCGTCACCTTTCCCCTCGCAGATCCATCGATGAGCCCAAGACGCCCAGGTGCACCCTGGAGGCAGCCAGGAGGCCTCGTGGCGTGGGCTTCCCCGCTGCACATCGCACGCGCGAGAGCCCGAAACACCCCCACTTCAGAGGGGGGCGGGCGGGGCTCCCGCGCGCCGAGGCTCCGCCCCCGCTCGCGGAGGACCCTCCTCCGTCCTCGGCCCCGGGAACTCGCAGGCCTCCGGCGTCCCTCGAGCAGGGCCCGACCCCTCCCGGCATTTCTATAGCCCCGCCATGAAATGCTCTTAGAACCCAAAAAATGTTCCAGGAACAAAAACAAGGTCCCTGGAACATCAACGCGACGTGTTCAGGCAAGACAGTCTCGACCAGAAATGTTCTGAGGACATGTCGTGGCAGACCACAGAAGGTTCTCAGGACATTGCTTGGTGGGGCTATCGGCGAGCCAGGACGCTTCGCCACTGCTTGCGTCTCGGCCGAGTCCCCATCATGGGGCGAGGTCCGGGCCCCTCGGTGCCCCGAGAGCCAGGCCCCCTGCCGCATGGCCCTAGACAGCCAGGCTCGATAGCTTGGACTCGCGACAGGGGGGCGCAGGCGCCCCAACGACAGGGCCCCCCCTTAGGGAAAAAGCTCGTCTTCATCCTCTACTGGCAGGTCGGCGAGGAGAGGACGAGGGCGAGGCCGATGATCGAGGAGGAGGAGAGGCCCCGCAACGCCGCACACGAGGAACTGTGGTCCTATACAACCAGGCTCGATAGCTAGGACTCGGACGCCCGTGCCGGGCGAGCGGAGCTGGCCATCGAAAGCGGTTGATGCTGGACCCGGGAGGCAGGGATGCAAGGGTACCCTTGAGAAGGTGGCCCATCCATGGCATCGGATTCGACTGCAAGAATAGGGGGCCACACGCGAACCCTACCCCTGCCCCCCACGACTTCTGCGGGGGAGGGTGGGGTTCACCTCGCTCTGGGAGCTCCCAGAGCGAGGTGAACCCCGCCCTCCCCCAGAAATCGTGGGGGGGGCAGGGGTAGGGTTCGCGTGTGGCCCCCTAAAGAAGGAACCTTGCGCTGGCGAGTGCCTCGGAGCTGGTCGGCCGGTCCGCCTGTCCTCTGCTCGTGGAGCCTACGGCAGGCATCGTGCGGGGCCTCGCCGGCAGCGCCCCCCGCCCGCAGAGCCCCCGCAGCTGCAAGAGGCGCCGGAGCTCCCGATGCAGCCGCCTCTGGGGCTGCAGACCGTCCAAGACGGAAAGGCGCACCCTCGGGCCCGAAAAGCAGCTCGACCAGGGCTGAAGCTGAACGGCGTTGTTCGGTTTCGTTCTGTCTTCGTCTTTCTCCCTCGCTGTTGTCTCGCATCCGCCTTGACCGCAGAACGAAGTCGAAACGAAAACGGCCCACGAAATCACCACACACACCGTTCAGGTCTAGCCCTGCCGAAAAGCAGCTCGAACGTGCTCTCCCCACGGGAACGCGACGTACTGCCAGCAGTCCCGTGGTTCGGGGCCCTTGCCTTGGAGAGACAGCGCCCCCCGCGCCTCCCTCGCTCACCCCTCCTCCTCCCCCGCCCTCCCTCCTCTCATCCTCCCTCCCCTCCTCCCTCCTCCCCCTTCTCTTCCCCCCTCCTTCCTCCTCCCATCCTCCCTCCTCATCCTCTCTCCTCCCCCTTCTCCTTCCCCTCCTCCCTCCTCCCATCCTCCTCCTCGCCCTCCTCCCTCCTCCCTCCGCGTGGGTTTCCCCACTCCTCCTCCCCCTTCTCCCCCCCCTCCTCCCTCCTCCCATCCTTGTCTCTGCCCCTCGCGCCAGTCAACCACTTCGGCACACCCTTCAAACGCTTCGTGGCCCCCCAAGGAGCTCCACCGACGGCCCCAGTGGCTGCGTTCGCATGCGCCCACCGCACCCATTTCGGCACACCCCTCACACGCTTCGTGGCCCCATGGGGAGCTCAACCGAAGGCCCCAGTGACTGCGTTCGCACGCGCCCACCACACACATTTCAGCACACCCCTCACATTCTTCGCGGCCCAATACGGAGCTCCACCAAAGGCCCCAATGACTGCGTTCGCATGCGCCCACCGCACCCATGCCGGCGCAACCCTCACACGTTTCGTGGCCCGACAGGGAGATCCACCGAAGGCCCCAGTGAATGCGTTCGCACGCGCCAACCACACACATTTCAGCACACCCCTCACATTCTTCGCGGCCTCAGAGGGAGCTCCGCCGAAGGCCCCAGTGGCTGCGTTCGCAAGCGCCCCCCGAACCCATTTCGGCGCACCCCGCACACGTTTAGTGGCCCCATGGGGAGCTCCACCAAAGGCAACACTGGCTGCGTTCGCATACGCCCACCGCTCCCATGTCGGCACACCCCTCACATTCTTCGTGGCCACATACGGAGCTCCACCGAAGGCCCCAGTGCGTTCGCATGCGCCCACCGCACCCATGTCGGCACAACCCTCACATGTTTCATGGCACCATGGGGAGCTCCACCGAAGGTGCATCCGCGCCACCCATTTTCGGCTTCCCCCTCACACGCTCTGTGGCCCGCTAGGGAGCGCCACCGAAGGCTCCAGTGACGGTGTTCGCGTGCGCCCACTGAACACATTTCGGCACACCCCTCACGCTTTGTGGCCACACAGAGAGCTCCACCGAAGGCCACACTGGTGGTGCTCGCAAACGTCCGCCCCATTCCACCCACTTCGGCGCACCCCGCACCCGTTCACTGGCCCCATAGGGAACTCCACCGAAGACTATTGGCTGCGTTCGCATGCGCTCCCATTGCGGCACATTCCTCACACGTTTACGTAGCCCCATAGGGAGCTCCACCGAAGACGATACTCGCAACGGCGCTACTCACAACTGCAGATGGTTGGGTCATTCGCCAGGCTTCTGTTCCGAGATAGCCGCCGTTACCAGCCCCAACAGCCCCGCTTCCCCCCTGGTAACCTTACGACTCGTGCTGACCTCAGAACTGGCTTTGGCTATCCGTAAACATCCCCAGACGTCGCCAGCGCGAAACGACAAGTTACTGGCCCCCCCACCCCGTAACGCCCCTCGTCGCCCGGGAAAAAAATACACTCTCCACCCGTCCGCACAGCGCCTGTGCAGCCTCGGGGTCGTCGTTTTCGACACAATGGGGGCTGCGCTGAGGGCTCTCTCCGTCTCTGTCACACTTGGGACGGGAAGGTGCATTGATGCATGCTGGTTGTACTCGGGTCCCCTACAACTTCACCCCGGTTCTCCCTGACTCCTCCTAGTAACTCCATCTCATCCTCTTCCCTCCTCCCGCGCCTCTGCCTCCGCCATCATCCTCCTCCCTCACTGCTCCTCCTCCTCCTCATCCACCTCCTCCTCCCCCTCCTCTGGAAGAGCATCAGCAGCATCCTCATCATCACCATCACCATCACCACCATCATCACCACCATTAACATCATCACCACCACCATCATCACCATCACCATCACCACCATCATCAGTACCACCATTATCATCATCACCACCGTCGTCATCACTACCATCATGATCATCATCATCAGCAGCAGCAGAAGCAGCATCGCCGCATCATCATGAACATCATCAGCATCAGCAGCATCATCATCATCATCATCACCACCACCATCATCGTCATCAGCATCAGCATCGTCATCAGCATCATCATCGTCAGCATCATCAGCAGCATCAGCATCATCGTCATCCGCGTCATCATCATCAGCACAATCCTCCTCCTCATCCTCATCATCATCAGCAGCAGCACCATGAGCATCACCATCATCATGAGCAGCAGCATCATCAGCAGCATCAGCATCAGCAGCAACAGCAACATCAACAGCGGCATCAACATCATCATCATCATCATCATCATCATCATCATCATCATCATCTTCATCATCAGCACCATCACCATCATCAGCATCAGTATCATAATCATAATCCGTATCATGATCAGCATAATCATAATTAATATCATACTCATGAACACCCTCATCAGCAGCATCATCATCAGCATATCAGCATCATTGCCATGAGCATCACCATCATCTCCGACATCATCATTAACACCAGCATCGTACTCTTCGTCATCATCATCGCCATCGTCATTATCATCGTCAGCCTTATCATCAGCATCATCAGTAAGATAAGCATAATCAGTATTAACAGCATCACTAGCAACATCAGCATGATCACCATAATCAGCATCAGTATCGCCGTCAGCATCATCAGCATCGTCACCAGTCAGTATCATCATGATTAACCTCATCATCATCAACACCACCAACACCATCATCGCTATCGTCAGCATCATCATCATCATCAGCATCATCATCATCATCGTCATCATCATCATCATCATCATCATCATCATCATCATCATCATCATCATCATCATCATCATCACCGTCACCGTCATCAGCATCATCATCATGATCGCTACTCATCATCAGCATCACCATCACCACCACCACCATAATCGACAGCAGCAGCATCAGCGCCATTAAACTACCATCATCATCATCATCATCATCATCATCATCATTAACAGCATCAACCTCATCATCATCAACACCACCGCCATCATCATCACCATCTTCAGCATAATCGTCGTCATCACCATCGCTCTGCATCATCATCGGCACCACCATCATTATCATCAGCATCATCATCATCATCATCATCATCATCAGCATCATCATCATCATCATCATCATCCTCAGCATCATCATCGTCATCATCATCATCATCATCATCATCATCATCGTCGTCAGCATCATCATCAGAATCATAATTGTCATCATCCTCCAGCTCCTCGCGGGGCCTTTGTCGCCGCCTTCGAGGCGGACTTGGCGCTGCTGCTCTTCGCAGACAGGTACATGAAGATGGGCACGCAAAGAGCCTTCTGGGGGCGGCGCACGCTCTTCTTCGGGGGGGGTCGACGTCGTCGACGCGGTCAGGATCGTCGTCGTCCTCCTCCTCCTCCTCCTCCTCCTCCTCCTCCTCCTCCTCCTGCTTCCGCTCCTGCTCCTCGCCACCTCCTCCTGCTCCTCCTCCACCTCCTCGTCCTCCTCCTCGTCCTCCTCCTCCTCCTCCTCCACCTCCTCCTCCACCTCCTCCTCCACCTCCTCCTCCTCCTCCTGCTTCTGCTCCTGCTCCTCGCCGCCTCCTCCTGCTCCTCCTGCTCCTGCTCCTCCTCCTCCTCCTCCTCCTCCTCCGCCTCGTCTCCTGGCAGCGCACCGCGCCAGCCTCACGCGATCGACCACGGCGCTCGCCTCGAGGCGCGGCGCCTCCGAGGAGACCGACCCGGGGCGCCCTCCCGCTCGCCGGGCGGGCGAGGGCGCGGCGGCGAGCGGCAAGGGTGAAACCCTGCGGAGGGTCCGTCTCGATGTCGTGAGCCGCGACGCGGCGTGCAGCCGGCCCGCATCAGAAGGTTGCAGGCCCCCAAGATCGCCCCAAGACGGCCCCAGAGGGCCAAGAAACCCCAAGAGACGCCCGAGACGACCCAAGAGTGCCCAAAGACGGCCCCAAGAGGGGGCCCAGATGGGGAACCCGAGCGGACATTTTGAGCCCTCGGCCCCGGGGGGGACGCAGGAGGCCCCCAGAGGGCCCCAAGAGGCAGCCAAGCGGCCCCCAGGAGGCTCACAGACTGCTTCCAAGAGGCCCCCATAGAGCACTCCGAGGAGACCCGAATAAGCATTCCTGAGAGCTCTGGCCCACTACCCAGGCACGGTGGCGGGATGGGGCGCAGGCCATTCGATAGAGTAGAGCACAGTAGAGTAGAGTAGAACAACACCGAGCAGAGTAGAGCAGAAGAGAGTATGTTAGAGATGCGTGGAGCAGGAGTAGAGTAGGAGTAGAGTGGAGCAGAGTATGTAAGGGTAGGGTGAGGTCGGGTAGAGTGGAGCACGGTTAAGCAGAGCATAATAACTGGAGGATCGATTGTAGAGTAGAGCCGGATAACATAGAATAGTCTACAGCAGAGTAGAGCATCAGAGTAGAGTAGTAGAGTACATGACAATAGGGTAGTGGCGCAGGATATAACAGAGTAGAAGAGGATACGGTAGGGTAGAGTAAGGTATGGTAGGGTAGAGTAGGGTAGGGCACAGTGTAACATAATTGAATAGAGTAGGTAGATGGTAGAATAGAGTCGGGTGGAACAAAGCAGAGTAGAGAAGGGCAGGGTATGGTAGAGTAAGGTACGATAAAGCAGAGCATAGTATAGAAAGGTCGGTGGTAAAGTAGAGCCGGGTGGAATAGAGTATAATGCAGTAGAGTTGAGCGGACAGAGTCCAACCCAGTCCAGTCAAGCCTACTCCAAACTACTCCAATACACCTCCCTTCGGTTTTCCTATCTATTTGGAATCTGCGCTGGCTGATGCTCCCTCATGATTCCTTGCGCACGTGCTGGGGCCATGCTCCCGGAATCCTTATGCGTCCGCGTCGTCCTCCGTCGGTCGAGGCACCCCGCGAGAGACGAAGCGTCAGCCGATACGGACAACAGACTGCACCGACGTACTTTCAAGAGGCCCCCTGGATGGGGTCGGAGTAAGTGGGGTCGGAGGACCGCGCCGCATCGCCAATGCTTCGCCGATGCACCGGCGATGCATCGGCGATGCATCGGCGACGTCGGCGGCGCGGAGCAAATCGGGCTCCACATCCAGCCGCATCGGCGATGCGGCGCGATCCTCCGACCCCATCTGCTCCGACCCCATCTAGGAGGCCTCAGACGTAGTCGGTCGAAGCGCTCCACGAGAAACAAGCGTCAGCCGACACGGACCACAGACCGCACCGACGTGCGTCCACCTGCCCGGCTTGCCGGCGCGAGGAGGCAGGGAGGATCGAGGGAGGGAGGATCGAGGATTAAGTCGGGCCTGTCCCCCTACAAGGGGATTTTCGACGAAAAATAAAAATACCCCCACAAATACCCCCAAAAGGTCAAAAAATAGTCCCCAGACCATTTTTAGACTATTTTTACCGAACAGCGAAGACTGATAGGTTTCTAGTGGTCTCAAAAGAGAGCATCATGACTCCTCAGGGGGGTCGGGGCGGGACCCAGGGCGGGACCCGGCGCGGCTGCCGCCGCACTCGTTTTTCGCAAAGAGTCACACACTTCGTGCTCTTCGACCTCCCAGAACTCCATTCCCCGGCCACATTCTGAATGCCCGGAGCCAACTGTAGGCCACTTCGTGCTCTTCGACTTCCCAGAACTCCATTCCCGGGCCACATTTTGAATGCCCGGAGCCAACTGTAGGCCACTTCGTGCTCTTCGACTTCCCAGAACTCCATTCCCGGGCCACATTTTGGATGCCCGGAGCCAACTGTAGGCCACTTCGTGCTCTTCAAGTTCCCAGAACTCCATTCCGAGGCCACATTTTGAATGCCCAGAGCCAACTGTAGGCCGCTTCGTGTTCTTCTAGTTCCCAGAACTCCGTTCCTGGGCCACATTTTGAATGCTGAGGCAGGCTGATGCTGCGGCCGAGGCAGGCTGAGGCTGAGGCAGGCTGAGGCTGAGGCCGAGGCTGAAGGCAGACTGAGGCTGAGGCTGAAGCAAACTGAGGCTGAGGCTGAGGCAGGCTGAGGCTGAGGCTGAAGCAGGCTGATGCTGAGTCAGGCTGAGGCTGAGGCTGAGGCTGAAGCAGGCTGAGGCTGAGGCAGGCTGAGGCTGAGGCCGAGGCTGAAGGCAGACTGAGGCTGAGGCTGAAGCAGGCTGAGGCTGAGGCTGAGGCAGGCTGAGGCTGAGGCAGGCTGAGGCTGAGGCTGAGGCAGGCTGAGGTTGAGGCTGTGACTGCGACTGCTGTTGCCGCTGCGACTGTCATCGCGAATGCGACTACGACTGCGAGAACAGCAGAATTCTACAACTGGATTTTCATATGAATCTTAAGGGGAATGCTTTCAGATATGCTTCTACACATCGCTGTTAGGTTGCTTTGCCGGGATAATTTGATTGTGTTTGCGTATTTTTTGTTTTTCGTCAAAAATCCCTCTGTAGGGGGACAGGCCCGACTGAAATCGAGGACCGAGGATCGAGGAGCAGAGCATCGAGGACCGAGGATCGAGGAGGGGGGAGGATCGAGGCTCGAGGCCCGCGCGCGCGCGCGAGGCGCGGGCGGCGAGGCCACGGCGGAAGACTCCCACAGCTCCTGCGGCGCGCCCCCGGTGGGGCCAGGCGCCCCGGGCCCCTCGCCGGCCCGGGGCCGCGGCGGCCTCCTCCTCCCTCCTCCTCCTCCCTCCTCCTCCTCCTCCTCTCTCCTCCTCCTCCTCCTACCCTCCCTCCTCCAACTCCTCCTCCTCACTCCGCTTCTCATCCTCCTCCCTCTCTCCTCCCCCTCCTCCTCATCCTCCTCCCCCTCCTCCTCCTCCTCCTCCTCCTCCTCCTCCTCTCCCCCTCCTCTCACTCCTCCTCCCCCTCGCGGTCCTCCTCCCTCCTCCTCACTCCCCCCTCCCCCCCCCTCCTACCCCCTCCACCTCCTCCTCCTCCTCCACTCCTCCTCCTCCTCCTCCTCCTCCTCCTCGTGCTCGTTCTCGAAGCCTTCTCCTCCTCCTGCTCCCCCCCCTGCACCCTTCTCCTCCTCTCTCCTCCTCATCCTCCTCCTCCTCCTCCTCATCTCCTCCTCCCTCCTCCTCGAGAGCTCGCAGCTTCCTCTCCTCCCCCCCTCCTCCCTCCTCCTCCTCCTGCCTCCTCCTTCCTCCTCCTGTCCTCCTCCGCCTCCTCCTCCTCCTCCCCCTCCTTCTCCCCTCTCCTCCTCCTCCCCCCTCCTCCCCTCCTCTCCTCCTCCTCCTCCCCCTCCTCCTCGCGTCCTCCTCCCCCTCCCCACCCCTCCGAGTCCTCCTCTCTCCCCCTCCCCCCCCTCTCTCCTCCTCCTCCTCCTCCTCCTCCTCCTCCTACCTCTTCCTCCTCCTCCTCCTCCTCCTCCTCCCCTCACGTGCTCGTTCCTAACCTTCTCCTCCTCCCTGCTCCCTCCTCCCGCCTCCTCCTCCTCCTCCTCCTCCTCCTCCTCCTGACAACACCTTGGTTGAAACCTCCTCCTCCTCCCGGGAGGGCCCCAGAGCGGCGGCAGTGGCCGAAGGCCACTATTTGTGAGGACGCGCGGTGAGGGTGCAAGGGCCTCGGAAGGCCACGTTGACGCTCCTCGAACGCGGCTAGCTAGCGGCAGATGCCAGGGACGGGCCGGGAGGGCCCACAGAGCGGCGGCAGTGGCAGTGGCCGAAGGCACTATTTGTGAGGACGCGCGGTGAGGGTGCAAGGGCCTCGGAAGGCCACGTTGACGCTCCTCGAACGCGGCTAGCTAGCGGCAGATGCCAGGGACGGGCCGGAGGGGCAAGGATGCAAGGGTAACACTGGAGGGTCGCTCATCCTCTGCGCGCGCGTTGACTGTAGGGGTAGGGGGGGGCAGCTCATGGGGAAATCTCCACCTGGAATCGGCGATCCATTACTGATAGATCAGCGATGGGCCCCCGATGGCGAATCCGCACGTTTCTGGGCGGGGTGGGGCCTTCGGGTCCCCATCGGCGATGAATGGGCGATTGGGGATCGATGCATCCACGCTGAGCCTATCCCCCCAACGCGCCTCGCCACTTCTGGGGAGACCCCTGAAATCGACGGCCTCTCAAGATACGATGCTGAAGCGGAGGTGACGGTACACATGTCTCGGCCGCCGAAAGCACTCGGCACGAGTAGGTGAAGTTAGGGGGCCACATGCGAACCCTACCCCTACCCCCCACGATGTCTGAGGGAGAGGGTGGGGTTCACTTCGTTCGGGAGCTCCCAAGCGAAGTGAACCCCACCCTCCCCCTCAGAAATAGTTGGGGGTAGGGGTAGGGTTCGCCTGTGGCCCCCTACTCCTTGCGCACAACTTCCACGGCATGACTCTCGAGAACGGGGCGTCTGAGGATCCGTGGAACTGTCGCGCGGGCACCAGATCCACGGATCGCGGGAAGCACCCCCGACAGATGAGGCCAATGCCGCCTAATTCGGCGGCCGCGCGCGCCGATGTCGCATGGAGACGGGGGCCGTCGCTGATCCACGTGCATTAGAATCCGTGTCTTGGCGGCGCGCAGAGGGGGGGGAGGAGGGAGGGGGGAAGAAGGCTTGCTAGAAGGAGGCCAGGCGCGGGCCTTCCATCTACAGACAAGGCCCGCGCCTTCTAAAAAGCAGGGTGCTTCTACGAAGCCGCCTCGCCTCCCCCTACACCCCTCTGCGCGGGCTCCTGAGTTCGCGCTTGGGCCTCACCATTGGCTCGGGCTGGGCGGAAGAAGCAGGGATGCCAGGGCAGCCTTGGTGAAGCGGCTCTGCTCGGACCCCGTTTTGGAGGCCTGGACTTCGGGAGAACGAAAACGGCGCCGCAGCGGGATGAGGTGCAGGGAGTAAAGCCGCCGACGTCGCCGATGCATTGCCGACGCATCGACGATGCGGCGCGATCCTCCGACCCCATCTGCGCGGACTCTACTTGGGAGGCCTGGAGCTCAGGAGGAAGAGGAGGGGCCACCGCAGGAGGTGTAGAGAGCGGAGCTGGGGGGGGAAGGAGCCGAGGCGTGAATGGGGCACGAATACAGGAACAAACAACTGCATAAGCAGAAGATTTCGGAGGACCACGCGGAATTTCTCGGATCCGCGCTGTACCCCCAAAGCCTGGCGAGCGCAGCGCGCCAGGGGATGCGCTGGAGGCGCCGCCAAGGGTTCCCAGGCGCTGCTCCAAGAAGAAAGCCGCGCGGAGGGCCGAAAGATTATGCTTGTGCCGCTGTCTGTTCTTCGAACGAGGGCCCAAGGCGATGGCGGGGCAAGAGAGAGAGCAGCCGGACGCAGGCCAGAAGAACACCCCTCAGGAACGCGAGACCCTCCGCCGGCAAAAACACACAGAACATCCGGGGCGCCCTCCCCTGGGACGCAGAAGAACATCCAACCACCACGAGCCGAACCGACCTCGAGCTCTCCCCGAACCTGGGCCCCGAGGATGTCATGATGGACCTGGCCAACAAGGTCGAGGCAGAGCTGCCCAACCGTGCGGTCGTGAGACCTGCCCCCACGTTCAACTCCCAGGTCGAACCCCTCCGAGAACGCCAAGAGCATCAGCCAGTCGCAGCTCCGCACAAGCAGGAGCGCGCCCGAGGCACGACTGGGGGCCAGGGCCCGACCGACCAATATCTGGGGTGCCCTCCCCGAACCGACCTCGAGCTCGTGCCTCGGCCCGACCGCGAGGGGGCGGGGCCAGGAGGAGGAGGAGGAGGAGCAGGAGGAGGGGGAGGTGGAGGAGGAGGAGGAGGAGGAGGAGGAGGAGGAGGAGGAGGAGGAGGAGCAGAGGAGGAGGAGGGAGGAGAGGAGAGGAGGAGGAGGACCCCCCCCCCAGCGGCGCGGAGGCCGGGGCGCCGAGGGGCGTCGGGAGCAGAGCGGAGAGCCGGCGAGCCAAGGAGCCGAGGCGCGGGCGGGGCGGGGCGGCCACGGCGGGCGGGCGGGCGCTGTCCCGGATGGCGTGGCCGCTCGACGCCTGGGGGCGCGCGCCCATGCGAGGGCCGCGCCCTCGCTCTGCTCCTTCCTCGTCCTCTTCTATGCTCTTTCTCCTCCTCCTCCTGCTCTTCCTCCTCCTCCTCCTGCTCTTTCTCCTCCTCCTCCTTCCCATCATCAGCATCATTAGCATCATTAGCATCATCAGCAGTATATAAAATCATCATCATCATCATCATCATCATCATCATCATCATCATCATCATCATCATCATCATCATCAGTATCATCATCAGCATCATCATCAGCAGCAGCATCAGCAGCAGCAGCATCATCAGCACCATGACCAGCACCATCACCGTCACCGTCACCGTCACCATCATCATCATCATCAGCAGCAGCATCGTCATCATCATCATCATCAATATCATCATCACCATTATCATCATCATCATCATCATCATCATCATCATCAGCAGCAGCAGCAGCAGCATCCTCATCATCATCATCATCATCATCATCAGCAGCAGCAGCAGCATCACCGTCATCATCATAACCTGCGTTGTCATCGTCCTCGCCATCACCATCACCATCACAATCAACATCACCAGTATCATCATCTTCATCAGCATCATCACCATCACCATCATCAGCAGCATCAGCATGAGCTTCAGCATGCGAATCACAAGCATCATCATCATCAGCATCATCATCTGCAGCATTGAAATCATCAGCATCATCAGCAGCATCAGCATCAGCATCAGCATCACCATCACCATCATCATCGGGATCGTCGTCATCATCATCAGCATCAGCAGCAGCATCAGCATCAGTATCATCATCATCACCATCATCAGCACCATCACCATCACCAGCACCATCATCATCATCATCATCATCAGTATCATCATCATCATCATCATCATCATCATCATCATCAGCAACATCAGCATCAGCATTGGCATCGTCATCGTCATCGTCATCATTATCATCACCATCAGCATCAGCCTCAGCATCATCATGACTATCAGCATCATCACCATCATCATCATCATCATCAGCATTAGCATCAGCATAGCATAATAATCAGCGCCACCATCATAATCATCATCGGCATCATCATCATCAACTTCATCACCGTCAGCAGCATCATCACCCGCATCGGCATCAGCCAGCATAGCATAAGAATTAGCAGCATCATCATGTCGATATCATCACCATCATCAGCAGCATCAGCAGCAGCAGCATGAGCATAATCAGCATCATCAGCAGCATCATCGTCATCATCACCATCACCATCACAATCAGCATCATCAGCATGAGCATCATCAAGAGCATCATCATCATCATCATCATCAGCAGCATCATCCTTTCTCCTCCTCCTCCTCCTTTCTCCTCCTCCTCCTCCTCCTCCTGCGCCTCCTCCTCCTCCTCCCTCCTCTTCCTCCTCCTCCTCCTCCTGCTCCTCCTCCACCTGCTCTTCCTCCTCCTCCTCCTCCTTCCCATTATCAGCATCATTAGCAACAAAATCATGATCATCATCAGCATCATCAGCATCATCATCATCAGTATCATCATCATCAGCAGCAGCATCATCAGCAACATCATCAGCACCATGACCATCACCATCACCGTCACCGTCACCGTCACCCTCAGCATCAGCAGCGACAGCATCGTCGTCATCATCTTCATCACTATCACCTTCACCAGTATCATCATCATCATCATCATCATCATCATCATCATCATCATCATCATCATCACCATCCGCATCATCATCATCAGCATCAGCATCAGCATCATCATCAGCAGCACCCTCATCATCATCATCATCAGCATCGTCAGTATTATCATCATCAGCAGCATCATCATTGTCAGCATCGTAACCTGCGTCATCATCATCATCGCCATCACCATCACCATCACAATCAACATCACCATCGTCATCATCATCATCATCATCATCATCATCATCATCATCATCTTGAGGAGCATCATCACCATCACCATCATCAGCAGCATCAGCATGACCTTCAGCATGCAAATCACCAGCATCATCATCAGCATCAACATCATCATCAGCAGCATGGAAATCATCAGCATCATCAGCAGCATCAGCATCAGCATCAGCATCAGCATCACCATCATCCTCATCATCATCATCATCCTCATCATCATCATCATCCTCATAATCATCATCACCATCATCATCATCAGCATTATCATCATCATCATCATCATCATCATCATCATCATCATCGTCATCATCATCATCATCATCATCATCATCATCATCATCATCATCATCATCATCATCATCATCATCATCATCATCATCATCATCGGGATCGTCGTCATCATCATCATCAGGAGCAGCATCAGCATCAGTATCATCATCATCACCAGCATCAGCATCATCACCATCACCAGCACAATCATCATCATCAGCAGCAGCATCAGCATCAGCATTGGCATCGTCATCGTCATCGTCATCATTATCATCACCATCACCATCACCATCAGCATCATCATGGCCATCAGCATCATCACCATCATCATCATCAGCATCAGCGTTAGCATACTAATCAGCGTCACCATCAGAATCATCATCGTCATCATCATCAGCTTCATCACCGTCAGCAGCATCATCACCAGCATCGGCATCAGCATCAGCATCAGAATCAGCAGCATCATCATTTCATCGGCATCACCATCATCACCAGCAGAATCATCAGCATTAGCATGAGCATAATCAGCATCCTCAGCAGCAGCATCATCATCACCATCACCATCACAATCAGCATCATCAGCATGAGCATCATCAAGAGCATCATCATCATCATCATCATCAGCAGCATCATCAGCATCATCATCAGTCTCAGCATCATAAATATGGTCATTAACATCATCATCATCACCATCATCATCATCATCATCATCATCATCCACATCATCATCACCACCAGCATAATCATCAACATCATCAGAATCATCAACAGCATCATCATCGTCAGCATCATCATCCCCTCCCCCTCCTCCTGCTCTTCCTCCTCCTCCTGCTCCACCTTCTCCTGCTGCTCCTGCTCCTGCTCATGCTCCTGCTTCTTCTCCTCCTCCTCTTCCTCCTTTTCCTCCTCCTCCTCCTCTTCTCCTCCTCCTCCTCCCTCTTCCTCCTCCTCTTCCTCCTCCTCCTCCTCCTCCTCCTCCCTCCTCCTCCCCTCCTCCTCCTCTCCTCCTCCTCCTCCTCCTCCTCCTCCTCCTCCTCTCCTCCTCTCTCCTCCTCCTCCTCCTCCCTCCCCTCCTGTCCCCTCTCCTTTCCTCCCCTCCTCCTCCTCCTCCTCCTCCTCCTCCTCCTCCTCCTCCAGCGGGTTCCCCCGACCATCCGCCGGGCACGGCACCGAGGCGGGGCTTGCCCGTACCATCAGTTAGGCCACCGTGTTCTACTGAGTGGCCAGCCACCTCCGATCCCCTCGCAGCCAGTGCTGGGTTGATTTGTGTGTATGTGTGTCTTGTGATCAGTGCGTCCTGGTGTATATCCCTGCATACGTCCTTCCCCAGACTCCCGCCTCCCCCCTTTCCTATCGTTGTCTTCTCTCAGCAATCCGTGATGTCTGTTTTTCTTTGCTAACGAGTGGCTTGGGCATGCGATGCTTTTCGCAGCTGTGACCTCGCGAGAGAGATCTTCGTCCGGACTTTGCGCTCCGATCGTCTCGGCCCCCTCGTGGGTGAGGCCCCGGCAGGAGGGGTCTCCCCTTCGAGCCTTCTGGGGCCTGGGCCCAGGGTAGGTCGGCCATCGCCCGCGGCAGAATGCGCCATTGCTGTCGGACGGACCCAACGGAGGCCGGCGTGCATGAACGCACCAATAAGGGGCCACACTGTGTGGTGCTACGCAGTGCTTCGCGCGCCCCGCCTAGCTCTTAACCGGAGGAGGCCCGCTCTCGACCCGCCGACCAGAAAGTGTGGTGCTACGCTGGTACGGCCACCCCCCAGGGACTGGCTGTTCGGGCCTCGCTCGGGGTGCGCGCCTTTTGTGACCTCGATGCGTGCGGTGGCGAGCGGGTATGTGCTGGTGTGGCACTGGGCGATGCGCACGATCGCGAAGCGACGTCCCTCCTCTTCCCCTGGCAGGCCCACCCCCCCCCGCCCCCCCCTCCTCTCCCCTCCCTCCTGTTCCCCCTGGTGCTCCTCCCCTCGTCCCTGCCTTCCCCTTTGCCTTCCTTGTCCTGCTTCCCTCCCCCTCCCCCCTCCCCGTCTTCTCTCGGGTCCCGACTGGGGGGGGGAGCGGGGGGGAGGGGCTTGCCAGGGCCGCGTCCTCACCCCTTCGGTGGTCCAAAGATGGGGTCCTGAGGGACGGGGTCCGAAGGATAGGAAGGGTGGACTTGCGTTGTTCGAGGCACCTCGTCCTTAGGACCCCACCTCTCAGGCCCCCGTCTCTGACCCACCGACCCCTATGTTTGTGGGGCCAGGGGAGCCCCGAATCGAATTGATAAGTCAGATCGGCGATCGAAATAAGTCGGAGCAGCGGAAATCGGCAGCCGAGTCGGGAAAAAGGTCGAATCGGCGGAACTCGGCAGGCCAGCTTTCGTCCAAGAAGACATCGGAGCCCACCTCGGAATCCGAAATCGCATCGGATCGGCATCGGACCCCATCGATGTCGAATCGAACCGAATCGGAGGAATCGAAACGAGCCCCTGGCCATCGCTCGGACGTCCATTCCCTGTGTTTTTGTTGTTTCGGTTTCGTGCGTGTTTTTTTTCGCCAAATGATCAAGGATGCTCCTCGATGGTCCTCGCCGAAGGAAAAATGCACACGTCCGAGCGATGCCAAGCCCATCGAAGTCGAATCGAACCGAATCGGAGGAATCGAAACGAGCCCTGTGGGGCCCCAGGCTGTCCACATGCTGCCGGCGGCCCGGCTGCCTGCCTGCCCGCAGGCCGCACACGGCCGCTGGTGCGGGCGGCGTGTGGCGCGACGCGGCGCGGCACCTTGGGCAAGAGCGGGGCCAACGGCGTGGACGGCAAGGGGTGGAAGGCAGTGGGCATC